ACGTTGTGACAGGATTCCAGCAGGAAGAAAATCAAGTCCCTCCAAAGCAGATATCCAGCAAGATGAGCCTCTGCCCCAGCTCCACCCCTCTCCTCACCTTCACCAGGGACAAGACCCTTGGGCATGGTGCCCATTCCCTGCCCACAGCCATTCCAAGGCCACAGGAACCCACAACTGTGTGTGATCTCCAACTCTCACAGGAGCAGCCTGTGAATCAAACTGTGCCACACACAGGAGGCTCAAGGCACAATCCCTGTGGTTAGGAGTGGAGGGAATCTCCCCAGGCTTCAGGGCTGACCTGAGACCTGGCAGTTCACTCTCCAGAGAAGGAACAGAATCCCTCCTGTGTGCTAGCAGCTCACAGAAGTACTCACAAAGGCAGGCACGATGGACAAGTCTGCTACTTGGTTCTGGGAATTGAAGCCACATTGCCTCCACCGTTGTGGGTGGCACTTAAGGCCACATTGTCACAGCAGAGACCTTGAGACAGCAGGAAGCTACAGTCTATGAGGAGTCTTGACTCAAAAGACACTTCACAAAAGGGAACAGCTCAGTCTCCCAGCAAGCACAAAAGAGAGGTAGCTGTCACCTCCTAAGGGACTTACTCCAGGCACCTGCTCACAGCAAGACAGACAGAGCAGGCACAGAACACTCACTGTCCACAGCACCAAGTCCAGAACTGTGGAGCTGGCTCAATTATAAAGCGCCTGCTTTATAAGCATGAAGACCTAAGTTTGAACCCAAACATTCACATTAAAAAAGCCAAGTACAGCCGGGCTGTGGTGGCGCACGCCTTTAATCCCAGCACTCGGGAGGCAGAGGCAGGCGGATTTCTGAGTTCGAGGCCGGCCTGGTCTACAGAGTGAGTTCCAGGACAGCCAGGGCTACACAGAGAAACCCTGTCTCGAAAAACCAAAAAAAAAAAAAAAAAAAAAAAAAAAAAAAGCCAAGTACAATGGGTCATGTTTGTAACCCCAGAGTTGGGGAGGCTGAGACAGGAAAGTCCCTGGACTCGACACTAAGTCAAGCCTATTTGGAAAGCTACAGGCAAATGGGAAACTGTCTCAAAGACATGGTCTCACAGGTAAGGGCACTCTGTGGGCAAGCCTGACACTCTGTTTGATCCCACATAGGAGAACCAATTCCTACAAGTTGTTTTCTTATTTGTACATACATATAAATGTAATACAACACACACACACACACACACACATATAAAACCAAGGTGGGTGGTACCTGAGGAAAGACACTAAGCCCTGGCCCTCTACAGGCACATCCACATGAACAAGAATTCACATGGGCAAATGCATACACAAACACACAGAATTTGAGGGGTCCTAAGGCAGGATGTCACCATGACAATCAAGTGGCCTCCTCAGCTGCCATCTAACACAGACGGGACTGGCCACCAAGGGCCCAGCAAGCCACCTCTTTCCAGGCCTGTGTTCTGGACTGTGTCCCTAGTGACTGCTCCCTTGGGCTCCTTGGATGACTAAATAGGGGAAGTGGAAGGTTTTCTTTCATTAAAAAAATAAAAATAAAATCTTGCTTATATTCTATAAATATGATTCTGCAACTATGGTATAGAATATTAGTGCACACTGGAAATAGCGAGCCTCAAATAGGAAAATGGTTTGTGTTCACCCAGTGCCAGAAGCCAATTTTCAATTGCTTAAAATAGTCATGATATTTTACCAAGGTAATTATACTCTTAGCTATCAGTAACAATTAACTCCTTAGACTGGAGCAGCTTAATAAAGGTCTCGAGACAAAATTGCACATGCCAAGCACTGTGAACTGGAATGTGAGGCAGGCAGAGGCCCCCTGGAGGGGGTGCCAAGGAAGAGCACACAGCTGGTTGCAGGCTGTGCAGATGGGTGCTGGACAGGACCCACGTCCTCCCGTCAGGGGCAGTGCACAGAAGCAAGGTCAGGCAGAAGTAAGAAGACCTAAAGGCTGAGGCCTAACAGCAGCTTCCGTTTGGGACAGTGAAGACAGGACACTCCCCCACTACAGGTAAGCCAGGCTGGCGTCCAAGATACCCAGGCCAGGTGCTTAACGAGTAGATGGCACAAGGGACATTATACCATCCCATGAAATCAGGCAACACCCCTGGGGCCTCACCAGATTAGCCCAATGAGTAGCTCCACCATCCTGGCTGGCTAGCAAGTCAAATCCCGCATCCCAGACCCGGGGCTGGGAAGGCAATGGGTATTGATCCATTGGATCTCTCAGAGGGACAGCTGGTATAGACAATCAGTCAGTGTCAGGCAATCGATAGCCACCTTCCCACTGACTCAGAGTGAGGCTAGGAGTGCAGTATGGGTCAGGGTGAGGCCACTGTGGATAGAGAGCCATTGGATTTCCATGTTCAGGGACGAGAGTGGAAATCTCCTGACTTGGGAGCACCAGTGGGAATGTGAAGGACAGAGGCGCCCACATAACACAGTAGGATCACAGTAGGCGCCTCACAGGATCTGTTCAAGGAACTATGAGAGCTCAACGAAGACCATACTGCATCAGCACTGTCACCAGCAAAGCCCTCTGTCACCCAAGCCTGAAATGAAGCCTAAACAGCCACCAAGTTCACAGCAACTCTGGTGATACAACAGCAGCAGGAGCCACAACAACCATGGGATAAACACAGTCAACAAAAATGTCCCAGCCACATGGGCACACACATGTGGGAATGCTATCGAACCTAGTTGACAAAAACCACCCAGAGCATGTGTGTGTGCACATGTGAGCACATTACAGACACACCCAAATCAGACCATGACTTCTCCAGAAAGTAGATGAAACAGCTGTGATCCCTAGAGCAACTTCTCCAAGGAGCCAGAAGGCTGTGACCGATGGACAGGCTACAGAAATCCAGAGGCTGGAAGCTTCTCTACAGGCTGCTTGGGATGGGCAAGGCAGGCTGGCAGCATGGAAAGGGCAGGTGCTAACTCCATGTGTCCCCCTGCCTCATGCATAGGCAGCTCAGTCTCCTGGGCCTGCAGTGCAGAGCCTCCCTGGGCAGACAAAGAACTCACTGCTGGGCTGGCAGGATGCCTCAGAAGGCTGCTGCCCTAACACCTCAGCAGTGCACTTGAAGCAGCTTGGGACCATCCCTCTGAACTGATTCTTGCAGTCTGAGCAATGGTTCTGAGATCACAGGGAACAGTTCCATTCCCAGCACCTTCCTCTCTTCACCACACAGGAAGTCTGGCGGTCCTAGGTGATAGGGACACAAGCACCTTGTCCACTAAGGAAGTCTATCAAGCACATCCCCTTCCCTTCCCTTCCCATTCCCTGAGCTTTCCCATGGCCAACTGTCTCCTCATGCCATGCACAGGCACATCCTGCACTGGTACTATAGTGAGCTGCCCATGGGCCAGCAGACCAGGACATCTGCCACCTCCTGCCCCCATGCACCTGCAACGCTGGCATCAACAGCAGCTCTGTGACAGCCTTCTTCCCTGAACCACATCTCTGTGGGGATGGGGCCAGCTCTCCTCACATGCTCTGGTAAACAGTAAATCCTCTGGGTCTTTGCTTAAGCCTCACCTCCGACAGCTCTTCCCGTGTCAGAGCGCACAGCAGTGTTTGTCTTTGTCATGGCTGGTGAGTGTATGGCTGAGTGCTCTGCCTCTTGCCCACTGCACTGTCAAGTCTGAGGGCCGTGACCACACACTCCCCTCACATGGGCTTCACACTGACAGGCACTGGGCAGAAAAGGATGATGCTGAGGTCAGAAAAAGAACTATGCCAATACACTGAGCATCATCCAGCCACAGGTACAAGGCTGGAACTAAGCTTCTATGAGAAGACAGCCTAGCCACTTCTTTTCCTGGGCTACCTGCAGGGACCCCGAAGGCTGAAAAGAGGGCTCAGCCCTGCCCTAGCCCTGGGAAGAAGTGTGTGAGGCCAACACAAATGCTAGACCTTCTTTTACGAGACGCTGGGGCACTGGCACAGGGCCGTCAGGAGTAGCTATGAAACTGCACTGGGAAGTAGGAGAATAGCTCACTTTGTAGCTGACCTGAAGGAACCTGGAGCAAAGAGTCAGGATGTCATCAGATACCGCCAAGCACAGAGCTGGCTACACACACTCTGTATCTTCTGGGTGCACCAACTTCCTAGGCCTTGTACCCACACCTATCAAGGTAAGAGTGGGCCTCCACCCAGTGAGCTGGGCTCCCTACTCTCACGTACCTGGGGACAGATCCAGCTTGCCCTTCCTTATGCTCTGAAAGCCCAGGCTCCATGAGATGCTCCACACACACTCATTAAGAACTCCGTTCACACTTTGAGACCTCAGAGTACCATGCCAGATAGACAGCCTCTGAGCCAGAAGGCTAAGCGAGGCCTGTGTGCCAGGGAGAGTGCATCACTGTGAGGACCCACAGCATTAGCTCAGGTGGCCATCCTCACATCATCCTGGGATGAAGCCCACTCCAGCTTCCTCTGCCCATGCTAGCAGCACAAGGTAGGAAGGCTGGCCACCACCAAGGAAGGCCAACTTACAGGAAACACTCCACTGAGGGGCTGCACCAGCCCAGGTCAAGACATGCAGAGAAAGTGAGTCTGGGAGACTGGTTTTGATCTTGTGTTTTTAGAGTCAAGGTACAGAACCCAGACTGGCCTTCAATTCACCACCTCCCTTCCTGCCTCAGTCTCCTTAATTCTAGGATTATGGTTGTATGCTGTAGCTCTAGGCTCTGGATGACTCCTTCTGCCATTAAAAGACTGTTATCAAGTCTAGACTAAGAGCACACAGACGAACTGAACTGTTTGTCCTGCTGCAGCCTGAGGCCTGCAGCTAGGAAAGGCCAGCGCTGTGCCTGGCCCGTGGTCCAGGATATATGGGATCCCCACTGGAGATGTACAGCTATGTACCACAGGCACATGCAGCTTCACAGATGTCTGCTTGAAGATGGGCAACCAGAGAGAAAAGGCCAGGCCTGGGCATGGTGGTGCGGGCATGGGTGAGCTCAGCCACACGGGGTGAACTATACCTTGGTCAGCAATGCATTGCGCTTCTGGAGCCTTCGGGCAAGTGCCTCATGGGTCTCCCTCTTCTTCCTCTCCTCCAGCAGCTGTGCATTGACCTGCCGGACCTCATCCTGGAGCTGCTGCTGGGCCTTCTCCAGACCCCGGGCACTGTAGGGAAGGCAAGATGGTAGATCTGTGAGGCCTGGCCTGACCATCCCCCATGACTAAGGACACACTCCCCACTGTGTACCCCACAGGGGCATCCTAAAATAGAGTTGCACGTGCAAACACCTGTCGTTTCCTCGCTCCTGAATAGCTACTCAGTGCCTTTCAGGAGGTTCTGGATTTCAAAGACACCCAGGGTGATCCCAGAACACGCGCGGGGGAGGGAAGTGCAACTCCACACACAATGGGAAAGATTGTCAGCCACAGGCGCTTCAAGACGGCACTTCTGAATGAGCTAAATTGCCAGCGCAAGCACTTCCCATGTGAGTCACAGTCGGCACAGATGTGCAGCACAGGGTGGGTGTGGAGGACGGCCCCCCGCAGCGAGCGCTGCGCCTGCAGAATGTCGGAAGGAGAAAGTCCTGGCTCACACTGGGTGCTAGGCCTGCCAGTGCTAACATGTCAGAGTATACCCAGACAACGGCATCAGACCTCCTCTACTCTCCCTGTCTCTACTTATACACATATGTATGTGTACATGCATGCATGTGGTTTGCAGTATAAAGGATTAAAGCCAAAGCCTCAGGTATAAAAAGCAAGACCTCTGTCACTGAGCCACACCCCAGCCCCTCACTGGGGGATTCTAGGCAGGGGCTCTACCACTGAGACACACCCCAGCCCCTCACTGGGGGATTCTAGGCAGGGGTTCTCCCACTGAGCCACATCCCAGCTCCTCACTGGGGGATTCTAGGCAGGGGCTCTACCACTGAGCCATACCCCAGCCCCTCACTGGGGGATTTTAGGCAGGGGCTCTACCACCGAGCCACACCCCAGCCCCTCACTGGGGGATTCTAGGCAGGGGCTCTACCACTGAGCTATATTGTCAGCCCTCTTATTTTGTACTTTAAGACAGGAGCTCACTAAGTCTCCAAAGCTAAACTTGAGCTTTTAATCTCCTGTTTGAGTATTTCCCCCCTCCCCCCGCAAAAAACAGGGTTACAGGTTGTGCCAACAAGCCTGGGTTCCCTTTACAGTATTACAGCTTTTCTACTGCGCCCCTGTGGCCTCTTTGGTTTGGCTACTTCCTTCCCTATGACATTCCAACAACCTCACAATTTGGCCAATTGTCTCTGTGAACATCAGAGGCCCAGATCTCTGGACTAAGGCCTCTAAGGGCCATTGATCACTCCCAGGCTGAGCAAAGAGCATCAGAAAGTACCCTTGCTACCACCCCACTAGTCCCACACCTGCCCAGTGCAGCCTCTGTTGCTATTGGCCCTACAGAGAACTTGGCAAAGGCCGAACAGCAAGGGCAAGAATCTCATGGAGGACCTACATGATGTCCTCTCACCTGTGCACTGGAGAAGGGCCACAGCAGCAGAAAGAGACAGGTCAGATGACAGGAGCAGCTGGGGAAGGACCAACCAACGCCACCACCAAGATGGCCACTGCAGGCTGATGACAAACTGACAGCAGGAACACAGTGTGCGCGCTGTCAATCACAGACCTCTTTCCAAAGGAAATACTAAAATCTCTCACAAATTGAGACATGGGGGCTAGGGAGGCAGCCCAGCTGATAGGGCATTTGCATTACAAACATGCACATCTGAGTCTGGACGCCCAGCACCCACGCAATAAGCTGGGCATGGCAGGACATACCTGTAAGCTCAGCAATGTTAAGAAAGATGTGACTCAGAGGCGGGCAGATAGATCCTGCAGGCTTGTTGGTTAGCTCTCTAGACTACTTTATCATGTCTCAAGCCAATAACACATGCATAGACAGACAGACAGACAGACAGACACACACACACACACACACAAAAAAAAAAGCAGGGCATCTGGATTCTGTTATCAGGTGACATATGTAAAACTCATGCAAAGTAACTGTGACCAAAACACTAAAGCTACTTTGAAAATGTACAATCTGGGGGCGGGGCCAGAGAGAGACACCTGCAGCTCAGATTACTTTTGCATCCAATTATTTTTGTTTGCTTTAATTACACAATTTCAAGAAAACCCTGAATTCACAAGGGCGGCAGATAACGCTTTTGTCAGGTAGACGCCCCTGCAAATATGTCTATTTCACATCTGAGTGAATACAGGGTTTTGTAAATTATAACTCAGTAGAATCATTTAAACAGCTGAAGTGTAATTTGAAAGTGAATGAAAGTCAAACATTTATGAAGCTTCAGCAGGGGCCTGTGATGCTCCTGGTCCTGAGAAGTGTCACAGGGTACCCTGCACTGGCCACCAACATAACCACAGAAGACAGAGCCAACCATGTGACATCAGGACAGTGGTGGGCTTCAATCCTGCAATCTCATGACTTCTTGCACTTTCCCCTAGCCCCACTGAGAAGCAGCTGACTGCCACCTGCACCCTAGGTGCATCACAACCCCAAATGTAAGGCAAGAGCAAATATTCAAGGGAAACAGACATATAAAGAGGCTATTTTGAGTTCTAGTTCAATTGAAAACTATTCATAGACCAATTTAATAATCAAGGACTGTGAAATCGACTCTTGAATCGTTGAATTCAGGTGGGGAGGTTCACAAGCGCCTTAAATCACCGCTCCAAAGTGGGTAATTTAATTAGAATGGCAGCATTTACTCTGCTACTTATGAGCCAAGCACAGAGAGACAGACACATGGCAAGGCAACTTTTCAGGTGACAGGGCACATACACGTAGGGTGGGACTGGGGGATTGGGATCACCCTGATAAACTATCCTCAGCAGGAAGACTGCCAAACCCAAGGCTGGAATTTAGGGGCAGCGTTTCCCTCATCCCATCCACCTGGCACAGGTGCAAACAAACCCAAGGCTACGCCATAACAGCCACTTTGCTGGGACACTGAAGCCTGGGCTCAATGTAACAGAACCAGGCGGCAAGATAGTACACCAGGAAATCTATCACTTGGCCTGAGCCAGCTACCACCCTCCACTCTGCAGCTAGGCTCTGCTACCTAAGAAAGGCAAAGACACAGGTACACGATCTCAGCCCTGCACCTAGGTAACGACATGGAGTGCCACACAGTGCAGAGCATGAACAGAGATGTTTGTCCTACGGCACCACAGGAGAAGGTGGAGTCTTAAGGGTATCGGGGGAGGAGACCCCGAGTTGTAATATTTCACATTATAAAGAAAACGTTTTGTCCCTCCCCACAATTCTCCTTCCCCAGAAGAAAAGAGTCTCCTCAGGAACTTAGGTATCAGGAACAAGGTCTTGCGCCTGCTAGGTAGGCACTCTCCCACTGGTCTGTACCTCCAGTCTCCACCCCTCCGTCATTCTCCCACGCTCCTCCCCTGCACAGACTCTCCATGCTCCCCTTGCAGGCTGGAGATGCATGTCAGAGTGCCTTCCTCACTCTCCCCACTTCATTCATTTTAGCTTTTGAGACAGGGCCTCTCACTGAACCTGTGGCTCGCTGTTTTGTCCAGGCTAGCTAGCAAGTGAGCCCTTGAAGTGTGCCTGCCTCTGTCTAACAGAGATGCACCACTGTGCCAGTTCTAGGTGCTCTGGAGATCTGAATATAGGTCCAAGTACTTGTGCAGCAGGCGCTTTAGGAGGTGAGTGAGCCAGCTCCCCAGTCCCCATCTTCTCTCTTAAGAACGAAGCACACTTCATTCACTGTGGAGGACAAAACCAGGTATCAGATGAATGCATGGTCCTCTGGAAGACGCCAGATAGCAGACAGGACTGCAGACCACAGCAGATCCTACGGTCAGTTCCCAGGCGGAGCAGGGTCCTGGGTTTCCAACAGGACAAGACTAGACTATAAATTGCAGTTCAGAGCAAAGCAGAGAGAGGGCGCTCCAGAGCACCATTTGCAGAGCTTCAATGAATCCCTGAGCACAGTGATCAACAGGCTGGGTTCCTCGTGACTGCAAAACAGGCATAAATCACCATCAGGTGACTGCAGGGGAAGGGACAGCTCACATAAACCAAACAGGCAGCAGCAAATACCTTCTGAGATTGCAGGATACACCGGTACCTGAGTGGGGAGAGAGCACTGGGTGGGGTTGCCTGCAGGGGCTGGGGTTTTAAGTACAGCAGACATCATAGACCTGATTAGATGGTGTACAGGAGGAAGGGTGTGAGGAAGGAAGCAGATGGGAAGCCCTCCAGTGAGCCAGGCAGGCACAGGGCCCTGCACATCCTCTGGTACCTGCGGCAGGCTAACTAGATGCCAGCTGGTATGGCAAACATGGGCTACAGGTCCAAGCATCCCAGAGCTGAGGTACTGCTGCCTAAGTGGCCATGGCAAAGAAAAAAAAAACAGTGAAGAAGAACGGAACACTTTAGTCCATGGTGAGGCGGGTGGCATGAAGTAAAAGAAGAGAACTAAGTATCTTGGGTTAGATACCTAATATCCTGAAGGGACTCTTCTCCACAGGCACAGATGAAGACGGATGTGTGGGACATTCGAGGGATGAAATGCTAACCACTCATATCCAGGGCACACTCACACTATGTGGAAACAGGAGTTGGCTAGGAGACTTACAGTCCTTTGCCAGGAGGCAGTGAAGAATCAAGGAACGGGAACAAGAAGAAAAATCCTCAAGAGGAAGAGAGAGACACACAAAAAGCTCCTTGAACTACAGATGTGAGCAGAAGGCAGATGGTACTGAAGGGGCAAGGTCTAGAGATCCTGGGTTGTACTCAGACATGGGAAGCTGTGTGGGAACAGGCGGGCATCCTCCAGGAGTTCCCAGGAGGAGGCAGGCTAGCAAGCTCCAAGGGAGCTGGGGCATCCCACCGAGGGGACAAGGGCCTGCAGACAGACAAAGCACCACATACAAGAGGGCCGCAGTACAACGTCCAAGGAGGCTCTGACTACTCACAGCCGGGCTTCTCAAGTCACACCTACCAGACAGGCCCAGACACCCAGGCACACAAGGACGCAGAGACACAGGAATCCGCAAGCTGACATGGACCTCAAAGTGAAATGGGGACTCTCCCACTGGGTCCATGGGCCCTACGAGAGCCTCAACAGCGGGAAGAA